CCTCTCCCACTCCCCCTGCTTGTGTTCCCTCTCTCGCTGTGTCTCTCTCTGTCAAATAAATAAATAAAATCTTTAAAAAAAAAAAAAGTAAAGAGATGACTTCAGAGTTTCAGTTCTCTGGAGAATCCTGTTTCCATTGATGCACATGGCTGAACTTGGAGCTTATGAGTTCAATTTTTTGTTCATTGACTTTGAGGAAGCCTCTGAAAGCATTTGGAAAGTAATCGGAGGCTATTGAGAGCTCTAGGGTTTTATAACACATGGACAATTCTCTCTCACAGGAACCGTTGACAAGCATTCAGTGGAGGTTACTAACTGCTTTTCAGTGCCGCACAACGAGTCAGAAGATGAGGTGAGTGGGAGCTTGAGCTGCCACTGTGTGGTCTATAGCTGTTCGTTTGCTAGGCTCTCCCTAAGCCCTCTCCCTCTCCCCCGCCCCCCCCCCGCACAGTATGTTGAGTTCATAACTAGAAGTCCTACAGTTCAAAGAGTTTTTTTTCTATGTGTACATACTTGCTGGCCCTCTTTTGTCTGCTGGGGGTGGCCCCTTGTCCTTTTCTTCCATTTTTTTCTATGGACTTCTGGCTTAGCTTCCTTTTCTGCCTGCCCTCTTAGGTGGCTGTTGACATGGAATTTGCTAAGAACATGTATGAATTACACAAGAAAGTCTCTCCAAATGAGCTCATCCTGGGCTGGTAAGTTGGAGTGGGGAGAATGGAAAGTTTTGGTGATTGCCAAGGTTTTTTGCCACGAGACTAGACATTACACTCTGTTTTGGAGACAGAATATTGGAAGTATATTACCTCAAGGATCTACGAATTTAGTGTGTTTTGCTGGCAGTTCGGATCTCATGAGGCCAAGAACATTTACTTTGAAATGTAGCTTTTACTAAGCAAGTATTTTTGCCTTGCTGGTGACTTATAAAGTTGTTAAGAGCTCTGAGAGTCAGCCTTTGATTTGATTTGATACAGTTTTCAGTGTATTTATTATTTTTACATTTGGGGAGTCACTGGGGGTAACGCTACCATAGGAGTGTCAGGCACCTAGAGACACGCATGTCACCATTGTGTTTGGTCTTAATGTCACATGTAGACATGAATCCACACTGTGTTCCATTTTCCAGGTATGCTACAGGCCATGACATTACAGAGCATTCTGTGCTGATCCACGAGTACTACAGCCGGGAAGCCCCCAACCCCATTCACCTCACTGTGGACACGAGCCTCCAGAACGGCCGCATGAGCATCAAGGCCTATGTCAGGTGACCAGTGTTTTGGGACACAAAGGCGTAAAAGGCTTATCTAGTTCATACCATGCCTGGATGACACCCACCTCCACGCAAAGCAGGTTTAATCCTTCAGTGTATAGCTCATTATCTCCTAAGGAAGCCCATTCCTCACTCTCAACAGGTATCGTTAGAAGGGCTTTACTCTGAAACAAAATCTGTCCCTGAAATATCCACTCACAGATACCAGTTGTACCCCAAATTTCTACTCATTGGTCTTAACCAATTTCAAATGACAGTCTTTTAGGTATTTGCGCAAACTATCATGTTTTTCATGTCATCTTTTCTATAAACTAACTCTTCACGGCTCCTATAGCTGATCCTCACGTGGTGTTTTGGTCACGATCCTTCACCACATCTGTTTTTTCTGAGTCACCCTTTAGTTTGCCATTATTCTGAGAACTGAACACAGGACTCTGGGTAGTACACATTAAAGGATGACTGTCCTTTTTTGAATACATCTATTACCCCAGGGTTGAGTACAGTTTTGATGACAATAAGATTAGAGTTTTGACATACTGAGCTTGCAGGCAGTTAAAATGCCCGTTGATGGGGGAGGTTGAGAAGGGCTCCAGTGGCATGCTGAAGAAGGGGCTGCTAGAGGAGTTGGGAGGATTGTCTTTCCTGGTTAGAGTGAAGGTATTTGTTAGTGCCTATCTTACTGAGTTTGACTTTGTGCTGTTTGTGTGTGTTGTGATGTAAGCAGTTAGCCATGATGCGGTGAGATGGTGGTGGATGCCAAGTGCTTATGGGCTAGTTGGTGTACCACTAAGCTTTACTCATTGCCTGATTTCTTAGCCTTTCCAGATATTTCAGACTTTTCGTGGTCCAGTTAAAAATAATACTGTTGACATAGTAAAGGCAGTCACCTTATAGTGAGATTACTTATAGCACCCAATCTAGTCTTGGTGGGCTGGAGTCAATTGGCTTTTTTTCAGTACTGATGAAGGGCTCAGTCTCATAGAAGACCTGTCCTTTTTCTTCTTTCCTTGGGGGTGAATGTCTGGGCAGCCAGCTCGACAGGGAAATCCAGTGTCTTGTTTCATCACTGAGATTGCACAGTGAGTGAAGCAGTCCTCTGAAGGCCAGGTCGGGTCTGAACGCTGAGTGCCCTCTCCCAGGCCAGGGTTTGTATGTGGAATGAGCTAGAGGAAAAAAAGTGACTTGCTCCCATGAGATCTCAGGTTTAGATGGTTCCAGCCTTATCTCAGAACTGTGGAACCCGTACTCTTGGTGTAAGTGCTTTCCCAGCCTAGACTAGGAAGCTCTCCCCCAAGTCCGTTTGTTTACCTTGACTTCTCTCTCCCCAGCACTTTAATGGGTGTCCCGGGGAGGACCATGGGGGTGATGTTCACACCTCTGACAGTGAAATATGCATATTATGACACCGAACGCATTGGAGGTGAGTAACCTTCCCATTCCTTCTTTTGAGGTCTGGTATTTTCAGGGGAGGGGTTTGCCACTCTAACGAGTGGAGGGCTTTGGGTGGGTTGAAGAGGAACCATTGATCCAAGGTTTGTGATATAAATCGGCTGCCAGGAATTATTTGTGGAATTATTAGAGGTGGGAAATTATCAGCACCAGAGGCTATGTGGCCATACATAGAAGAGCAAAACCAGTGATTAGCATACTGGGTACAGAAGTTGAGCTCTACCAGGAAGAAGAAAAGCTAACAAGGGCAGAGCAGGGGAGTTTAGAGAAATTGGCTATGTCCAGAGGGAGGTGGGGAAGTTAGCAGAATGGTTAGACATCATCTCTTTCCTGATGGGGTGACTGAAATCTCTGTGCCTGTTCTATTCCCCATCTCACTCCCACAGTTGACCTGATCATGAAGACCTGTTTTAGCCCCAACCGGGTGATTGGGCTCTCAAGCGACTTGCAGCAAGTAGGAGGGGCATCAGCTCGCATCCAGGATGCCCTAAGCACAGTGTTGCAGTATGCAGAGGATGTGCTGGTGAGGGGGGGAAGGAAAGAAAGGAGGAGGGCATGATCTCCACTCCGAGATCACTGAGAGGTGTGCTGGCAAAATGGCAGTCCTCGGTGGTGAGAATTAACTGTGCCTCATTGTATCTTTGTTTGGTGCTCAGTCTGGAAAGGTGTCAGCTGACAATACCGTGGGCCGCTTCTTGATGAGTCTGGTTAACCAAGTACCCAAGATAGTTCCCGATGACTTTGAGACTATGCTCAACAGCAACATCAATGTGAGTGCCGTCCCTGGGCTTCTGGGATCTTGTGTCTTCCCCCACCTCAGCTCATGCACAAATGTGAAGGGAGTTGGGGGAGATGACCCAGAGGGGAGAGGAGGAGGGGCTTTGCCTTTGACCCCTTGCAGTCCAGGTTGGGAGAAAGGAAGAGATAGTACACGTGCTTGGAGATGCCCCCGCCTTCTCTTCCTTGATTCCATATCTCAGGTACTGATACTACTGTGACTTGTTATGTAGATTCATGGCTGAAAGAAATGCTAAATCTAGAGGTTAATGAAAATGCAATTTCTTATTTTCCCCATCTGAGTTCACAGACACTCCCTCCTCCATATTCTACCCATGGACCTTGGCTAAAGCACCCCACGTTTATTAGTGTATCGGTAGGGACGAAAAAGTGTTCTCAAACATTTCCTTCTTATCTTCCACCTTTGACTCTTGCCCAGCCTCTTCCTGAGCTGTCATTTATCCAGGCTGTCCTCATACCCAGTATTCAACACGGAGCTGGCCAATGCCAGACTTTCTTTTCCCTTTCCACCCAATCCCTCACTCATTGTGGCTTCTTCCTCTTCCAGGACCTGCTGATGGTGACCTACCTGGCCAATCTCACGCAGTCACAGATTGCCCTCAATGAGAAACTTGTAAACCTGTGAATGGGCCCCACGCAGCACTCCTGCCAGTCTGGGCCACCCTAGGACTCAGAATGGAGTGAAGTAGAATGGTTTTCTTGTGGTTTGAGTCACACTGAGTCAGTCAACTGCTTGTGACTCTAAATAAATATAGCCTACCTTTTGTAAATGAATCCATCTTACATGAGTTTACTGCTGGGTGGGGGGGAAGAACTGTTCTAGAGCACACATAGAAACCAGGAAGTGAATACTCTGGGTTGGTTGTGTGTTTATGACTCTCCATCAGTGGTTGCTTGCACCCATAGCCCAAGCTCAAGCCACTTTATCTTCACCTGACTCCAGACCAGATAGCCTTCTTTGCACACTGGTTTTATAGAGGTACTTTATTCCCACTCTTTTGCCTATGATCAGAGCAAACTGAACCTCCAAAAAATAGATTTTTATCATTTCTCTTCCATAGGACCTTAAATGAATGGCAGTACAGAGTGGTGCCCTGTGCACAGTTAGGAGGACCTAGAGCATATGCTAGTGAGTGAGTGGAGAGGAAAGAAGGGAGTGGGTACAAATCTCAGTCCTGGGACCCATGAGGATATGCTGGTGGAAAGACAGTCTTCTGAGGATTAACTGCGCTTTACAAATTTTTCTTTTGGCTTTCAGTCTGGAAAGGTATCCACTGACAATACTCTGAACCATTTCTTGATGGGTCATGTGGTTTCCAGAGGAAGTAAAAATGAGAATCCATGCAGGGAAAATAAGAGAATTAGATACTTGATCTGAACTGAAAGAGTAGAGAACGTGGTCAGAGTCATAAACTACTTGAATAATTATTTCAAGAACTTTTTGCCACTATGGTTTGGGGAGGCAAAATTAGTATCTATAGATTAAAGAGATTTCCCCAAAACTCCAAATTTCTTGGGTAATATATGTAACCTGAGACCACCCTTTGGAATCTATGCAAAGACTAGATGCCATTTCCCAGGTATTTTATAGGATAGTGGTGACCTCAAACAGCCCTTTCGTCTGATATCCTAGAGTGTTCTACCTGGGCACTGCGAGATGTCTTAGGTTGAGAAAGAAATGGGTCATCATTCAGGGACTGAGGCTTGGTTACATATTGGAGTGAAAAGGCGAATGAAGGCAAGTGCGTATCAAAAAGGCCTGGATCCTGATTCTGGTTCTGAGATCTGTAACCTTAGGAAAGACAAAATCTGAGGGTCATAAAGTGCAGATCATAGTAATACATAGCCCATTAGAGTACTGTGTGAATTTGATAAAGTAATGAATATCAGGTTAACGTGCAGACAACAGTGCCTGGTAACAGTAAGCGTACGGGAAGTGGTAGTGATTACGTCTAAAGCTGAATACAGTTCAAAAGTAGTAAGAAACCTATGAACCCCATCCTGGATCCCAATTGTGATTCTGATATGTAACCTTACGAAATACAAGTTCTTGGGGTTATATATATAGTAAAGATACTTTTTTACATGTAGGTAAACATAAATAGATGATAAAAGTTATGCCAAATTGTGAGGTTAAAAATAGCGTGCACAATGGGAAAAGGGTTGATCAGAGCTCCAGTGTTTGTGTTCTATTTTTTGGGTGGGTGGTTTAATACCAACTTTAGTTTTTTTAAATATGCGTGCTAAAATGCCAAGGTTGATCACTGAAAATATATATAACCTCCAAATGAAAGTGATAGGAAATAATGGAATAAGGAAAAGGAAAGAAAAATTGAGAAATGAGAAAGCGTGAAAAAAGTGGGTAAAGCAAATTAATAAAGATGGCAAAAATAAGTCCAGATATAGTAACCACAATAAATGTAAAAAGGATTAAACTAACGAGAAAAAAAAGATTGAATTTTAAAGCAAAACAAACCCCAGCCATACTTCGTTTGCAGGAGACACAACTAAAACATGGACACAGAAAGTTGTCTTGCAACTATAAGCAGGACATCTTAAAATGTTGAATAAAAAAGAGTAGTCTCAGGAGACATTACATATTATAGAGTCAAAATGCAAAATCTAACCCTTCCTCTTTCCTTAGAGGCTGCTGAGAGCCTGGTACCTTTGACCCTCCTGAGAAGCATAGGACAGGGGACAAGAGAAATACCATCTCTCAAGAAATGTGCTGTCTTCAAGCCGAGGGCAGCCAAAAGCATTTCTCCTGGAATTGAGATTGTAAACCTACAGAAGGCCAGAAGAGTCACTGGGGAAGATTTTCACTGAGGAGGTAAACCTAGACCCCAGGAATGGAACTTGAAAGATGGCAAGGAGGTGTTCCTGGGAGTGAGAATAAGCTTGAGCGAAGCAGAGGTAGACTGTGGCCTGGACACAGTGAAGAGACACGGTGCAAAGGACAGCTAGCAAGAGAATGGTTGATGCAGGCTTGTCAGCACCAGAATAGCTTAGGAAGACCTCTACAAAGTTTCTGAAAGAGACAGGAGTACTTTTCAGGGTGATGCCATTGGTCATCTGAAAGGTAGGTGGAGTGGTCCAAGGGAGAACTGTAGGTAATGTGAATTAGGACCTTAAGAGGCCCAGGAAACGAAGAGGCAGAACACATGAGAAACGGCAGCCTGGCATGCCTTGGTTGAGCACACGGTACAGGGTTCTTTGCCATTTGCTCTGCCTGGTGGCCGCCACACACCCTCCCATTCCGTACAGAGTGGGACGTGGAAGCAGTGACTGCCAGCAGTTCTGAGCATCCCATGACGGGGAGAAGCAGCAATCTGTTGGAAACAGGAAGTTAAGGCTAAGATGGCACTTCCACAGTCTGAGCAGAAATGGAACAAGCCTGTACCGATGAAGATAATGCTCCAGAGCTGGCAAACTCCCCACCCCCACCCTGCATGTCTGCCCTGTCACGTGATGTTCCCTGTTAGGGCTCTTCAACAATCTTAGCGAAATTTTTCCTACCCATACTCCTCAAACAGCTTTCTAAAGAACCCCCTAATCAGTCCCAAGCATTTCCTGCACTAGAACCTTCAAATACGGACCTATCTTATCTATCTCCTCCAAAATCATGTCCAAACAGTCCACAGACCTTAGCCACCCCAAACTAATTAGTCCTTTCAATCCTCCAAACCATGCCAACCAACTAGCCCTACTAAGCCATGGACCCACCATCCATCCATTTCTCAATCCCTCTTCCCACTGAAGCTGTTCAATACTAGTTTACCCAGTCTTTGAGCTTCATGCTAATGGTTGCTTTGATAGAGAACGTTCGCTTCATAGGCGTAAATGGCATATTCCTGTACCTTCCCTTTTACCACCTGTAAGTCCCTTAGGATTTACACTGAGATCGTGAGCATTTTGACATTAGGAGAATGCTCAATGGTTGGCCTAACTCTAAATAAAGTACCCTGAGCCCTTGGACATCTGGGTCCTAGAAGTACGCATTGACTCAGAACAGATCGATCCCACAGCCGTGCATCCTCTGGTATACTGAGCCTCTGGACTTAACCCTGATTCTGGACCACTTGACCCAATGGGCAGATTGATGCCAAGTGGCAATGAGTCTCTGAAGGTATCTCGACGCACACGACGGGTAGTAACCCTTTGCACACTTAACACCATTTGCTGTGTATTCACTGTTATCATTCAGCATTAAGATGTTAGTATTTGTCAAATATCATGCCAGCACTAGGTGAATAATGTGCACTCCGTGTTACTGGCCTTAAGGAGTTTACATTTTGGTGGGGAAAGCAAAAGTAAATGATTAGTTGCAAAACAGTAGAAAATGAGTGCTGGATCTAGCATTTACTGAGCACCTATATTTGGTCAATTCATATTACAGAGGGAGCTGGGCTTAGAGAAGTTGAGTACATTACTTAAGGTAGGGAACACGGTAAGTGATGAAACAATTTTAATTCGGGTCTGGATTTTTTTTTTTTTTTCTCTGTAGCCCTCTGCTTCAGTTTCGTGGCCCAATGAAATAATTATTAGAGCGAAAATGCAACGTAACAGGAGCATATTACAAGGATTGACCAGCTCTGTCATAGGGAGCCTGGGAAGATTCTACCCAGATGTGATACCTGAGCTGGCCTTTATTTTGAACAAGGAAATCAGAAAAGGATAAATGGAGCAGAGGAAACATCTTAAAAAGCTTAACCTGTTCAGAACCTAAGGAGGCTAATGCAGGAGGCTGACCATAAGGGCCCTCAGGCTATGGAGATTGGATTTTATTCTAGAAGTGGGAAGGCACTAGATAATTAGGGATTTTAGGAAGATCACCTGGTAGTGCGGAGGAAGCATGGAAAGAGAAAAGCAGGAGGTGGGAAGACCAGTCAGGGCCACTGTGATTGCTCAGATGACTGGCGGTGGTGATGGTGACAAGACTCCGTTTGAAGAGGGTGTTATAAGGCAGACTCCGGAGGGTGTGGAGATTGGTTGAACTTGGATGGTGAGACTTGTGAGTTTAGGATGTTGCCTGGTTTCTGATAAAGATGATTGAAGGGAGGGCGCCTGGGTGGCTCAGTTGGTTGGGCGACTGCCTTCGGCTCAGGTCATGATCCTGGAGTCCCAGGATCGAGTCCCGCATCGGGCTCCCTGCTCGGCAGGGAGCCTGCTTCTGCCTCTGACCCTCCCCCCTCTCATGTGCTCTCTCTCTCTCATTCTCTCTGTCTCAAATAAATAAATTAAAAAAATCTTAAAAAAAAAGATGATTGAAGGGATGGTAGTATATGGAAAGCCTGGCTACTCCAGAGTGGTGGAAGTTTAGAGGATACAGAGATGTGTCCAGAATTAAGATTAGAGGAGTAGGTTGGGACCTGTTAAAGCCCAAAATGGAGTCATTTGCCGCCCTCCCCGCAAGATTTCATTAGTTTCAGCCTATCCCAGGAATGTCACCTTTTAACAGTCAAATCTGAAATTTCCTGACTAACACTAGTGAGGCAATCTGCATAATGAAAAATCCTGCCATTTCTTTCTCCCCCCTCCAAAAGGATATGTCCTGGCCTGAAACAATCCTTTTATTTATTTATTTTTTTAAGATTTTACTTATTTGACAGAGAGAGCACCCAAACAGGGAACAGCAGAGGGAAAGGGAGAAGCAGGCTTCCCGCTGAGCAGGGAGCCCAATGCGGGGCTTGATCCCAGGACCCTGGCTCATGACCTGAGTCGAAGGCAGATGCTTAACCGACTGAGCCACCCAGGTGTCTCCATTCCTTTTATTTTGCCGGTAACTTGCCTTACCCTCTTTCCTATGAAGACCTTCCATTTCGTACAACTCCTGGGAGCATCTCTCCTTGCTAGATGGGATGCTGCCCAACTCATGAATCGCTTGACAAACCGAATTAGACCTTCATATTTACTCAGTTGAATTTTGTTCTTTAACAGACCAAATGGTGAAGTCTTAAATGCAGCCAAGTAATTGTGATGTCTTTGATAAACTATGGGGCTGCACCAGATCTTTTTGAGGAAAGGCTGAAGAATTTACTCGTTTGAGTAAAGTAATACTTACCAGCTGCCAACAATATGCTAAGCAAGAAGTCCTGGTGCCTGCTTAGAACCTGCTGGAGGGGACAGACAAAGAGGTGATTGCTTTGGGAATCACAAGGCATTGGAGGTCATGGACAGCTTCCAGTTAGGAAGTAAAATCCAAGCTGGAGGAAACAGACTGAAAAAGGAGAGAGAGGAAAACAGCATTTAAGCACAGAAAGCTGGCAAAGGCTCAGACACAGTGTCAACCATGTGGCTCCATCGTTGCTGACTCTTGGCTAAGGAGATGTTTGTAAGGAAAGAACACTGTGCTAGGTTGACGGGAAAAGGATGGTACTGTTTTTTTTTTTTAACAGCCTGTGCTAACGTGCACAAGTTTATTTTTACTGTGAATGTGTGTTCACACATTCTCTTTGTATGTGGTTGTGCATATGCTAAAAACTTCAGAATGTGTCTGGATGAGACAGATAGTATGTGTTATCTAAGTTCTAAGACACCACAGTCCTCTGATTTTCTCCCAACCCCCTTACCCAGTCTTTTCTGTGCTTTAGCCTGGTCCTCCTGATGTAGAAAACATGTTAGGGTTTGAAGCCGATGGCCAAGAAAGAATTCTTGAGATGTTGTTGGTGCAAAAAGGTGGTTTTATTAAAGCATGGAGACAGGACCCGTGGGCAGAAAAAGCTGCACCGGGGTCATGAGGAGTGGCCGATTATATACTTTCAAATTGGGGGGTGTGGTTAGGGAAAGTATAAGCCTGCCAGGTGTTTTGAAAATAAGGTTTCCAGGATCCTGAGGGGGCTAGCTATTGTTAGGAAAAGTTCATTTATTACTGTTTGGTAAAAATTCATTCATGAGACCCTTCAGATGTATATCAGTGGGCCATATGCTTGGAGGATGATTGCTAACATGTATCTTAGGGGGTTGGGGAGTAGAGAAAAAGGAAGTTTCCAAAGGAATTTTTATATGTTAAAGTAGACTTACAGGATCCCTGGGGGGCAGGCTAAGATTGCCTTTTGCCCGTAGCAAAGTATTAACATTGAGGCGGCTGAGTTCCTAGAGGAATGTCCCTCTGCCTGTTTCAAGGACTTGTCAGTGGGCTGTAGGTACTAAAGAAATTTAATAATTTTTCTTCTGCCTTTGTTTCCCACATCACTTCCTCCTCTGAGCCTCCCTTAAGGTTTCACTTCCCTAGGCTTCCATCCTGGGCCTCTTCACTGTCTACTCCACACTCTGTGCCGGGAAGATTTCCTAGAATCCTTTGACTGCAATTATTGCCAATTGGTTAAAGATTCCCAATCTTTAGCTCTAGCGCTGGCCCATATTCAGAACTGATTGCAGACTAGTAAAATGGACACCAGATATCTCACCTGGAGGTCTCAAAAGCATTTTAAATTCAACATGCTCCATATTGAACTGATTGTCTCTTCCTCACCCACAAATCACCTCCTAAATTTCCTTTCTCAGGTGATGACACACCAGGTACTCTATTGTCAAAACCAGAAATCTTGGATGAATCCTAGATTCTCCCCTGCCTTTCCACCCTCGTGATTTAATCAATCATGCCTATGAAGGGAGGCTTCCGTAACAACCCATAGGACAGAGTTTAGAAAGCTTCTGGGTGGGTGAATAAGAATGCATCTAGGAACAACGTGCATGCCAGGAAGGTGGTGTAACCCCAAATTCCAGAAACAGAAGCTTTTGTCCTTGAGACCTTTCCAGACCCCAGCCTATGGATCTCTTCACCTGTTGATTTGAATCCTTTAATGTTCTTTAGTAAATCAGTGATGATAA